CTTAGTTCAGAAATGTGTTGTTATATTTCTACATATTTTTAACTTTCAAATTTTCCTTCTGCTATTGATTCCTAGTTTCAATCCATTGTGGTCATAAAAGATAATTAGTATGATTTCTGTCTTCTTAAATTTGTTAAGACTTGTTTTGTGACATAACAAGTAATGTATTTTGAAGACTCTCCCACATGCATATGAACAGATGTGGTTTCTGATGCTGTTATTTGAAATTTTGTTTCTATGTCTATTAAGCATGTGTATTTTGTAGTGTTGCACAAGTCCACCTTTTTCCTTATTGATTTTTCTCTTTGAGTATTCTATCCATTGTTGAAAGTATTGAATGAAGTCTCGTTATATAATGTCCTTGTTTGTCTCTTGTTAAAGTCTGTTTTGTCTCATATAAATATAGCTACCCCTTCTTTCTTTTGTTTCTTATTTTCATGAAATATCTTTTCCTATCCCTTTTCTTATAGCCTAAACATTTTCTTAAATCTGAAATGAGTCTCTTTTAGACAGCATATTATTGAGTATTTTTTAAAAAATCCAGTTGTCCATTTCATGTCTTTTGATTGAGGAGTTTAATAGATTTCTGTTTAATTATTGATAGGAGAGGATTCACTTTTGCCATTTGTTAATTGTTTTGTGTCTTACAGTCATTTTTTGGGGGGACTCCTCTTTTCTCTCCTGCAGTCTTTTTTGTGTTTTATTGTTTTTTTTTTTTTTTGTAGTGATATGCTTTGATATCTTGGTCTTTTTCTTTTGTTTATCTTCTATGTCTTTTCTTTGTAGTTATCATAAGATTTACATAAAATATAGATATAGCAGTCTGCTTTAAGCTGACAAAATATAACTTTAATCACATACCAAAAGTCTATACTTTTACCTTTGTTACCCCTCTAACTCTGTTATTGATGTCATAACAAACATTTTTAGCATTTTTTTGTAAAGCAGATCTGATGGTGATATGCTCCCTCAGCTTCTCTTTGTCTTGGAAAGTCTTTATATTTCAATTTTTAAAAGAGTATTTTTACTAGGAATAGTATTCCTGGTCAGCGTGATTTTTCTTTCAGTACTTTTAATGTGTCATCCCAATCCCTTATGGCCTGCAAAGTTTCTGCTGCAAAATCCACTCATAGCCTTATGGGGCTCACTTGTATATGATAAGTCACTTTGCTATTGGTACTTTTAAAGTTTTGTCTTTGACTTTTAACAATTTGACTTGATTTCTTTGGGTTCATCTTCCTTCTGTTTTTGTCAGCTTCATGAATCTAGATATGTATACTTCTCAGATTTGGGACATTTTAGGCTATTGTTTCTTTAAATAAGATTTCTGTCCTTCTTTCTCTTCTCTTTCAGGGATTTTTCGTAATGTTTATATTGGTTTTTCTTGAAGTGTTCCATTTCCACTAGGCTTTCTTGACTTTTTTTTTGCCCCTCTATGTAACTTCGGACAATTTGCCTTTGAGTTCACTGATTCTTTCTTCTGCTTGGCCAGGTTTGTTGTTGAGGTTCTGTATTGATTTTTTTCATGTAAGTTATTGTATTCTTCTGTGGTTCTTTTTCATCATTCCATCTCTGTTGATATTGATGTTTTGTTCATATATTTTTTTTTGGTTTCATTTAATTATGTTTTTGTGATCTCTTATTACTCTCTTATTACTTCTTTAATATAATTATTTTGAATTACTTGCCAGACAATTCTAGAGCTCCATTTCTTTAGATTCAGTTACTGAAGATTTATTTTGTTTCTTTGGTTGTGTCATATTTCTCTTACCCTTCATTTCCCTTGTAGCTTTTCATTCGTTCTGTGCATTTGCAGAAACAACTGCTTCTCCTAGTTAGTCTTTATTGACTGGCTTCAAAGGGAAAGAAACTTCGTCAGCCCGTAGCTAGAGATACTGGGAGCATCTGAAAACTTTTCTCTGAATTATCATGTTCCACACTCCCCCTTCCTTCTCGGGGAGAATTCTTAGGGTTGCATGCTTTCTCTCAATTTCACAGAGCCATTCGTGCTGTAGTGAGCTGTCTACCTTTCCCCCTTGGAAAATGCACAGAAAATCCAGGGTATTTAGTGCACATGCCATTCTTTCTCCCTCCCGAAGGGAAAGTCTTAGGGTTGTGTAGATTACACAACCTTAAGATTGTCTCCCAATCTTGTGGAGCCATGATAGCAGCAGTAAACTACTCACTAATTTTCTTTATTTTTAGCTGTTTTCAGATATCCAAACTGTGCTTGTTCTCTTAGTTCTCTGGATGAAGTGAAACAGAAACAGATCCTTTGGGCAGTGCAGTAAAAGGCCAGAGATGTTGGGTGTGTGGTACACTCTCTCTTTTCCTTGAGGGAGAAGTCATAAGTCAAGGTGGTCTCTAAGGCTGAGCGCTGTCCTGGGGCAGGGGCTGAAATTAGTAAAGTATAATTAGTCGTCTTACTCATTATAATGTGGCTATTCTTGGTTTTGTATTTTTTTTTTTTGGTTTTGTATTAATCTTTGGTAGCTTCTTAACTGAGTTTTGATTCCCTAATAAAAATATTTTGGTTCATATAACATTGTTGAATCAGTGTTTTTATGGAGCATAAGTGTTGGCACTTCCTATTTTCCCATCTTGCAGATGTCACTCTTTATTGTTCTATTTTTGTTATATATTTAATCTATCTTTTCATCTATATTATATATTTAAATAATTTTTCAAACAGATGAAACCTCAAAATATATCCTGCTATTTGCTAGCTTCTTTCCTCTAAACTATTTTATTTGATTTGTCAAGAAATAATATAATTTCTTAAATTTTCCTTTTCCAGTAAGATAGGATCCCTCTTCTCAAAAAGTAGAATAATTCATTTTATGTTACTCCTTTTCCTTTTGTTTTTAAGAAAATGTCTCTATTCTTGGAAATACATTTAAATTTTTAACTCTTAAATAAGAATTTTATAGGAGTATAGTTTTTCAGGTATAATCATCTCTTTACTGATATTGTGTGTCTTTTACCAAGACATTAAAAATGTCAGAAACATTTTCTTCAGTGTGATAAGAAAGCTTTTATAAATGCATTATAATCAACATTGACTTTTTTATTATAAAATATGCATAAAATAAAATTTGTCATTTTAACCATTTTTAGGTGTACAATTCAGTGACATTAAGTACATTTACAGTGTTTTGCAATCATCGCCACTATCTATACCAAAATTTTTTTATCACTTCCAAACAGAATTTTTATATCCATTCAGGAATAATTCCTCATTTCTTCTCGCCCCTGCAGCCCAGTTATTTTACCTTTTGTCTCTATGAATTTGTATATTCTAGAAACTTCATATGTATAACTATACAATATTTTGTTCCTTTGTATCTGACTTATTTCACTTAGCCTAACATTTCCAAGACTCATCTGTGTTGTAGCATGTATCACAATTTCATTCTTTAACATTGGCCTCTTGAATGTTAAATTCCAAGTAATTGGAATGTAATTCCAAACTTTTATGGCCTTCTTTGAAGATATAAAAAATTTCATATGATTGGGATATCTGACTCAAAATATGGGTGTGGGGGTGCCTTAGTGGCTCAGTCCATTAAGTGTTTGCCTTTGCCTTAGGTCATGATTTCAGGGTCCTGGGATGGAGCCCCATGTTGGGTTCCGTGCTCAGCAAGGAGTCTACTTCTCCCTCTCCCTCTGCCCATCCCCCTTGCTCGTGCTCTCTCTCTCTAAAATAAATAAAATCTTTTTAAAAATCTGGGTGTGAATAACATTTCTCCACAATATTATCCATAGTGTCATACACATAGATCCAGATTAGCTATAATCCTAGTTTGCTTCTCTCTTGATGTTCTTTTCCTTTATCAATTTCCTGAAATTCTTTTATAAGGATATTTTTATTTATTAGAGAGAGAGAGAGAGTGCACAAGTTGGGGGGAAGGAGAGGGAGAAGCTGAGCAGGAAGCCCGACATGGGGCTTGATCTCAAGATCCTGGTATCATAGCCCAAGACTAAGGCAGCCAATTAACTGACTGAGCCGCCCAGACACCCCAATTTCCTGAAATACTTGATTCCTTCTAAATATCATAGCTTTCTATATTACTGTCTACTGTCTTGTCCAATTGAAGCCAAGAGCCCAGACACATTTTCTTTGAAACTGTAGGGTGGTAAACTATCATGAAAGGTATCACTAAGAATGCTTATAACATCATTATATGTAATTACATACTATAATTTATAATTAAAAGGATATTCAACTTAGAACAGTTATTAAAATTAATATAATTTAGGGCAGCCCGCGTGGCTCAACGGTTTAACACTGCCTTCAGCCCAGGGCCTGATTCTGGAGACCCGGGATCAAGTCCTATGTCGGGCTCCCTGCATGGAGCCTACTTCTCCCTCTGCCTGTGTCTTTGCCTCTCTCTCTCTTTGTGTCTCTCATGAATAAATTAAATCTTAAAAAAAATTAAATTAATATTGTTTAGTAGTCAGAGCTTCCTACTTATCCTGCATAAAAAAATAATAAATATGTACCTTAATTATTTATGCATTTCCTACATTTTGACAATAGGTTTAATTCTGACCAATTTTTACTGGAGAGTTCGAGTTTATATATTTTGTATATATTTTTTACTACAAAAATGCGTGTATAATAATATAATATGCACCTAAGAAGAATTCTTTCACAAAACAACAATCTTACATTCTTGTAAAATTACTTTGGACAAATCTCAAACGTGTGTCATTTAAATATTAACAACAGGTAAACAGAGAATCAAAATACAATGAATTATAACAGCCTCTGGCTTATATACAGAAGGCTGGGTTAGAGTAGAGAGGATAAATGGGAACTTTAAACTACCTTTGAATTTATCACCTATATTTTTTATTCAAAAAATATAATTGACAACTACACTTAGTTGAATATTGACAAAATGTACAAACTGTGAAATATAGTATGGGCATAATTAAAACATAAAACAATTTAGTGTAATTTGATTTTTTAACCCTAATATTTTCTTTCTTGGTAGTCAAACAAAAATTTGGATATTTCAATTAATGCATCAAACAACTTTAATCTCAACATTACCTGGTCAGTTGGTTCAACAGGTAAGAGAATCTTGTTGTCTCATGTCTTTCACATCTGTTTGTGTATGGAAGGTGTTCTAACATGACCTTTTATTGTTAATTCAAATAATTGAAATTAAAAAATATGTCATAATCATTTTGCTGATTCAGGTAAAAAAATAAGTAGCAATATTAATAAAGCTTCATTACTTTGTTAACTTTATCCCTTATTCAATTAAAAATTAGATGGGTAACAAATATTATTCACTACTTAATTTTTTAAAATGGCAGTGTTATGATTTGCTATGATTTTAATTAAGATAGATTACTTCTTTAATGACTAGGGATTGAGATTTCAATTATTTGAGTCACTGTTGGAGCTATAAATTTAATTATTAACCTTAATATTGATATAAAACAATGAAATTCTGTGCATGCTGATAAATTAACATGTTTTCTATTACTGCCAAGCTTAGAAATATACCATTCCCTTTGTCAGCTTCAGTGCTGAGTGGTTAAAAAAAAGTTCTGTGTTAATATGCCTTCTGGGGCAGCCTGGGTGGCTCAGCGGTTTAGTGCCACCTTCAGCCCGGGTCCTGATCCTGGGGTTTCGGGATCAAGTTCCGCATCAGGCTCCCGGCATGGAGCCTGCTTCTCCCTCTGCCTGTGTCTTTGCCTCTCTCTCTCTCTCTCTCTCTGTCTCTCATGAATAAATAAATAAAATCTTTTAAAAAAATATGCCTTCTCTAAGAAGATTCATAAGTTGAAATTTTTGACTTCATGAAAGTGTAACCAAGATGAGATACAAAGTGTATGTTGGATTATGAAAGAGTATATTTACTGTTTTTTGTATTTACGTGTTAGGAAATTCTATTGATTTTTATTTTCTATATCAAAGATACACTCTTGCATTAAAGTGTTGAGATGTTCTTAAAATATGTGGATTCTCAGATATCTATATTCTATTTCTGAAAATCAAATCATTATGCTATTTTAATATGTAGAATCATGGAGACAGAATTCAAGAGTGATGTGGGTTTTGCAATTCTAGAATCTATATATCATGTGTTAAAAAATGAGAAATTTGGGCAAATATATAACATTTTGTTACAATTTTGCCAAACATTTAGTTAAAATCTTAGCAGTGTGAGCTTCATTATTAATAATTCATGATGGAACACTGGCTCAGTTAGTAGAACATGTATCTCTTGATCTTGGGGTTGTAAGTTAGAGTCTCGTGTTGGGTGTAGAGATTATTTAAAAATAAAATCATTTAAAAAAGGAATTCATGAAAACTTGTACTATTTATTCAAAATTTACTTTTGCACAATAAACTTACTCTAGAAGAGTTTTAAAACTTGTCAAGAAAAATATAGAAAACCTCTGTAATTAGTTTAGAATAGTGATTTTAGTATGTCAGAAATTGCTTGTAACTTTCAGATTCCCAAAACTAAATCTCAGAAATTCTGATTTATAAGGTTAGGAGATGATGTCAGGAAATATGTAAAAGTACCCCAAGTAATTTTGGAATAGGTGATGATTTAGAAATTAATTCAGTTGCTCAGTATATTAATTCTAAATATTTTTACTTTTTGGTAAGGTGGAAGACGTGGTAAGATTGTTGGAAGTGCTTTGTTCCATTTGGTTAATTTCAGTAAATATTTATTGAGTATGCAATCACTGTTTAAGTAATTGAACATTTAGCTCATGTTTTAAATTGTAGCCTCCTTTCAATTTATTCAAAGTAATGATTGTTCAATTTGTGGTTAAGACAAGTAGATTTCTTTTCCATTTTTTAATTGGATTAAGACATGTAAAATCTGATTTGTTTTGAGAGGCTCTGTGGAGTAGTATATGGAAGTAACTCACTATCTGGGGCTAAAAGAGGAAGTTACCATTCAGTAGCTAACTTAAGGCAGTGTTTTGATCTTTCTGCGGATCAGGTTTCAATTTGAAAAATAGAGATAGAATACCTCTCTTATAAAATTGTTATTAGAGAAGAATATAAAATCTTCTGCACCAGTGCCCAGTACATAGCACTTAATCAGTGTTATCATTTTTAAAAATAATTCTTATGCTATTTCCATTACATCTTTGATGAATCTTATTTTATTTCTCCTTTGTCACTCTAAACAGTAAACAAGTTTATTTTGATAATTATATTTTTATAAGTACAGTTATAATAATTAAGCAAATATAATATATATTTTTAAATTCAAAAGATCCTTTTTTTTTTCCTAATTTGTTATTGTTGTTTACATTTTAGCTGGAACAATATCTGGGGAGGAGACTCCTATAGTTTCCAAGACTAATATAAAGGAATACAGAGATAGTTTTTCCTATGAAAAATTTAACTTTAGAAGCAATCCTAACATTACATTCTATGTGTACGTCAGCAACTTTTCCTGGCCTATTAAAATACAGGTAAGTGTTAATAGTACTTAACATAATGACCATTTATTTTTTTTTTCACAAAAACAATGCTGTTTTTGTTTGAAGTAAAGATATGGATAAGATTTCTGTTTTGAAAAACATGAAACGCGTGACCCTTGATTGAAAGGGTACATTGAATGTCTATGATGAATATCTTTATTTTTTTGACTGTTGGAGATCTGTTGGTTTAATGTTAATTACACTTTTCTTTTTGGGTAACAATGGAGTACCTGCTGGGGCAGTATTATTTTGCTTAGTTTATACTCTGGCTGAGAACACTAGGAGAACAGAATCCAAGTTCAGGTTTATCTATGTGGTCACCAAGTTTAAGACCCAGCACAGATAGAAGATAGGTCAAAAGTAAATGGCTTTCTCCTTTAAATTAGCACAAAGGGAGGGCTTTGGCTTGATAAAAGTATAGGTGAGAGTTTGAGACCTGGTGCCCAGGAAGGGAGTGGGAAGCTGTCTTATTTCTTGGCACTGGGCTTTGCACTAGACCGCAGATCTGCTCAATCTCTATCCAGGCTTTTGACGCCTCTCACAGTTATGAAAGCCATGAAAAAATGGGCTCAGCTATTCTCAGGAGCTTGGAAGGATGACACAACTGGATTCTGGGTTCAAAATACCACAACTACCACCGGATTCAGGCAGCATGTCTCTCTCTCTCTCCTTTATTTTTCCTTTTTTTTTGGGGGGGGCAAAATCTCACCGAGAGGGATGCCCTTGCTACTTTAACACTTCCTTTTCCTGTGGCTCAGCAGTGATAACTGTCACTCACTCATGCAGCCAGTAGATCCTGTCCTTCCTTCAGGTTATGAAACTTGATTGCCTTCTATTTCTAGTTCAGTGGTTCTCAAAGTGTGATTAAGATTAGGGTATTAAGATGCTTATCCCAGATTACTAGGTAGACTCAACCTAACTACTTGAGTCCTTAAAGTAACGTTTGATGGCTGAAGTTAGGATTAGAGAGAGATATACCTACTGAAGAATACGGAGATAGAAGCAATCTTGCTAGTTTTGAATATAGGAGAAAAGGGATCTAGAAGCTGGAAAAGTGGAGGAAACAGATTCTTCTTTAGAGCCTCTAAAAGAAACACAGCCCTGCCAGTACATCGATTTTAGTCCATTGAAACATGTCAGACTTCTCACAATAGAAATATAAAAATAAGTAAGTCAGATTTCTAACGTACAGAACCATAATAGTAAATGTGTATTGTTATTTAAGCCACTAAGTTCATGGTAATTTAATGCCACAGCAATGCAAAATGAATAAATCTGGTGTCTTAGTCCATTGGACTGCCATAACAAAGTAACACTGGATAGCTTATAAAAAACAAATTTTTTGGTCACCATTCTAGAGTCTGGAAAATCCAAGATCAAGGCACCAGCATAGTCAGGTATCCTCTTTCTCATTCATAAAATAGCACCTTATCACTGTATCCTCACATGGTCCTGGAGGAGAGTGAGCTCTGTGGGATCTCTTTTATAGGAACATTTATTGCTTTCATGAGGAATCCACCCTTGTGACCTATTCATCTTCCAGAGGTTTGCCTTAGCACCATTGCCTTTAAGAGTTAGAATTTCAACATATAAATTTGTGGGGAGAGGAATAAACATCCAGATCATATGATCTATTTTGGTAAATATTCCTTGGACATTTGTAAAAAAAAGAAGTGCATATTGTTGTCATTGAGTGGAGTGTTCTACAAATGTGAATTATGTCAAGTTGGTTGATGGTTTTGTCAAGTCTTCTAATGTTTTTATTGATATTCTGTCAATTTGAGAAATGAGTGTTCAAAATCCAAGACTGTAATTGTGGATTAGTTTATTTGTTCCTGCAGTTCTGTCAATTTTTACTTCATGTATTTTAAAACTCTCTTACTTAGATGCACAAGTGTTTAGCATTTTTATGTCTTCTTGATGAATTGATGACTCTATCATTAGTAAATCACTTTCTGTATTTCTGGTAATATTCTTTGCTCTAAATTCATTTTTCCAGATATTATTATAGCTACTCCAGCTTACTACTCCTTATAGCCAGAATGCAATATAATTTTTTTTATGTTTCAAGTTTTTACGTAAATTCTACTTAGCAATATATAGTATACTAGTTTCAGAAGTAGAATTTAAGGATTTATCACTTACGTATAACACCCAGTGCTCACCAAAACTGGTGCCGTCCTTAATCTCCATCACCCATTTAGCCCATCACCCTGCTCAGTTCCCCTCTGTCAATCCTCAGTTTGTTCTTTATATTTAAGAATCTCTTTATGGTTTGCCTCCTTCATTTTGTTTTTTTCTTTTCCCAATGACAATCTGTTTCTTAAATTCCACATATAAGTAAAATCATATGGTATTTGTCTTTCTCTGGCATATTTTGCTTAGACTAATCCACTCTAGTTCCATCCACATCATTGCAAATGGCAAGATCTCATTCTTTTTTTAAGGCTTAGTAATACTCCACTGCGTATAGTATACCACATATTCTTTATCCATTTACCAGTTGATGGACATTTGGGCTCTTTCTGTATTTTATCTATTGTTGATAATGCTGCTATAAACATTGGGAAGCATGTGCCCCTTTGAATCAATATTTTTGTATCCTTTGGATATACACCTAGTAGTGCAATGGCTGGGCATAGGGTCGTTTTATTTTTAACTCTTGGAGAAGCATCCAGACTGTTTTCCAGAGTGGTTGCCCCACTTTGCATTCTCTCAACAGTGTAAGAAGGTTCTCCTTTCTCCTCATCCTGGCCAACATCTGTTGTTTCCTGTGTTGTTAATTGTAGCCATTCTGAGAGGTGTGAGGTGATATCTCATTGTAGTTTTGTTTTGTATTTCCCTGGTGATAAGTGATATTGAGCATCTTTTCATGTGTCTTCTTTGGAAAAATATCTATTCATGTCTTCTGCCCATTTCTTAACTGGATTATTGGGTTTCTGAATGTTGAGTTTGATAAGTTCTTTATAGATTTTGGATACTAACCCTTTATCAGGTAGGTCCTTTGGAAATATCTACTCCCATGCAGTAGGTTGCTTTTCAGTTTTGTTAATTGTTTCCTTTGCTGTGCAGAAGCTTTTTATCTTGATGAAGTCCCACTAGTTTATTTTTGCTTTAGTTTCCCTTGCCTCCAGAGACGTATCTAGTAAGAAGTTGCTATGGCCAATGTCAAAAAGAGGTTACTGCCTGGTGTTCTCCTCTAGGATTTTTTTTTTTTTTATAAATTAATTTTTATTGGTGTTCAATTTACCAACATACAGAATAACACCCAGTGCTCATCCCGTCAAGTGTACCCCTCAGTGCCCGTCACCCATTCACCCCCACCCCCCATCCTCCTCCCCCTCCACCACCCCCAGTTCATTTCCCAGAGTTAGGAGTCTCTATGTTCTGTCTCCCTTTCTGATATTTCTCACACATTTCTTCTCCCTTCCCTTATATTCCCTTTCGCTATTATTCATATTCCCCAAATGAATGAGAACATACACTGTTTGTCCTTCTCCGGTTACTGTGGCCAAGTTAAAAAAGGGTGTTGCCTGAGTTCTTCTCTGGGATTTTGATGGAATCTTGTCTCACATTTAGATCTTTCATCTATTTTGAGTTTATCTTTGTGTATGGTGCAAGAGAGTGGTCCAGTTTCATTCTTCTGCATGTGGATGTCCAATTTTCCCAGCACCATTTATTGAAGAGACTGTCTTTCTTCTAGTGGATCGTCTTTCCTCCTTTATCGTATATTAGTTGAGCATAAAGTTCAGGGTCCACTTCTGGGTTCTCTGTTCTGTTCCATTGATCTATATGTCTGTTTTTGTGCCAGTACCACACTGTCTTGATGAACACAGCTTTGTAGTACAACCTGAAATCTGGCATTGTGATGCCCCCAGATATGGTTTTCTTTTTTTAAAATTCCCCTGGCTGTTTGGGGTCTTTTCTGATTCCACACAAATCTTAAAATAATTTGTTCTAAGTCTCTGAAGAAAGTCCATGGTATTTTGATAGGGATTGCATTATACGTGTAAATTGCCCTGGGTAACATTGACATTTTCACAATATTAATTCTGCCAATCCATGAGCATGGAATATTTTTCCAACTCTTTGTGTCTTCCTCAATTTCTTTCAGAAGTGTTCTGTAGTTTTTAGGGTATATTTTGAGAACCATTTGAATGGTAAATGGTTCTCCAACCTTTTATTTTCAGGTTGTAGGTGTCCTTCTGTCTAAAATGAGTCTCTTGTAGACAGCAAATAGATGGGTCCTGTTTTTTTATCCAGTCTGAAACTCTGCGCCTTTTGATGGGGTCATTAAGCCCATTCACGTTCAGAGTTACTTGAACTTCTTCTTAAAGGGGAGTTTTAAGAGTCCCCCTTAAAATTTCTTGCCGAGCTGGTTTGGAGGTCACATATTCTTTCAGTTCCTGCCTGTCTTGGAAGCTCTTTATCTCTCCTTCCATTTTGAATGAGAGCCTTGCTGGATAAAGTATTCTTGGTTGCATGTTCTTCTCATTTAGGACCCTGAATATATCCTGCCAGCCCTTTCTGGCCTGCCACGTCTCTGTGGAGAGGTCTGCTGTTACCCTAATATTCCTCCCCATGAAAGTCAGGGACTTCTTGTCTCTTGCTGCTTTAAGGATCTTCTCTTTATCTTTGGAATTTGCAAGCTTCACTATTAGATGTCGAGGTGTTGAACGGTTTTTATTGATTTTAGGGGGGGATCTCTCTATTTCCTGGATCCGAATGCCTGTTTCCCTTCCCAGATTGGGAAAGTTTTCAGCTAGGATTTGTTCAAATACATATTCTGGCCCTCTGTCCCTTTCGGCGCCCTCGGGAACCCCAATTAAACGTAGGTTTTTCTTCCTTAGAGTGTCATTTATTTGCCTTAATCTGTCTTCATGGTTCTTTAATTGTTTATCTCTTTTTTCCTCAGTTTCCCTCTTTGCCATTAACTTGTCTTCTATGTCACTCACTCGTTCTTCCACCTCGTTAACCCTCGCCGTTAGGAC